CCCCCCCCCCCCCTCCCGAACATTCTGTCAACTAAACTCATCAAAACGCTGGTACTATTTATACCCCCCCCGGGGGGGGGAACGGCTCCCCGAGTTAAAGAGTTGCCTGTCTCCCTTGGAACACAACCACGTGTTGAACTAGAGTGGAATGTCCTTAGGCCACAACGGTGTAATTATGAGCAAATGATGACAAAATACACAAAAGCCAATTCAAGCTCACGTGACTTACCTTACACTCAATGCCTTGACATTCATTAACGTTTGTCTCACAGTGGACACCAGTATATCCCGACATGCACAGGCAGCTGTAGCCTTCAAGACAGGTACCACCATTCTGACATAACGAACACTCATTGATGTCTGGACACACATTATTGCTGTCACAATCTGAATATGGGGGAAGAAGACGAAAGAAGAAGACAATACATATTAATCAGCATTAAACATGAAGAAAATAAGAGAAATCGTATATTCTTCCGGTCAAAGATGGGACGAGTAGGGGTTGGGTACGCGCATGCATTACGATTCTAAGCATCAGTGTATACGGACAACCCATGATTTCCCCGTGCGACCACGCGCTCATGGAAACCTCAGTTGTATTCTCAGTCGAGCACGAATAACATCCACGGAATCTACGAACTAGGCTTTTTCTTTGTTTTAAACCTGTTTTAGTGAGCGCCCTTGAGAGATAAATTTCAGTACTTCAGCACTGCGTTAAATATAAGCCCTGCTAAAAGTTTGATTTGAATCTGTCAGACAGTCTTGCAAGTCTATTATGAGGCAATATGGTACCGTATAATGCTGGATCAAGACACTGTGTTTGTAGTCTCTTTGGTGTGTTGGAAGCTCTCGCAAGCACCCACCTTTTACCTCTTCTGTGGGTTGCGGCTAACAAAATCTCATCGCTATTAAGAGATTAGCACCAGTTAAACAACTTTTCCAAATTCTTAGGTGATCACTTATGACAGCTACAAATAGAGCGGTTTTCGACACAGGTAACCCACTGAACCAATCAAAACTTCGAGCAAATAAATATAGAGAGCGCCAAGCGCGGGAACACGTGTAGGAGCGAGTTACTGATTGGTTCAGAAAGAGGCGCACGATTTTCTAGCCAATCGCTAAGTGTAGTAATGCAAAACCAAAGCAAATAAGAGTTACTTTCGACACTCGAGTGAAAACTGCTCTAGTTTAACAAGCACACAATCACTGTACCTGCAACAGAAACTTGGAGAGATTGTCCAATGAATTGCAGTGGACGACTGGTATGGTAACAGCTAAAGTGTACTTCCACGCTCCCATTAGAGTCCTTGAAGTTATTGTAGACAAGTGGAACCCTGGTACGAAGGAGAAAGCCATCATCCAGTCTAAACAATGAACTAACATTTTTTTGAAGCTGTGGAGTGGCCTCATTATTCTCTGGAGTGTCAACATGGCATTGATAATCAAACTGCCTGCCTAGACTTCGAGGGTGAGGGCAGCAGTGCTGTTTAGCGCAAAATGATAATGGTGATGACGAGTCGTCGATGATCAGCTGACCCACAATAATGCCGGATGGTTGATTTTCATTCACAGTGTGCGGAATCAAACACATGTTGACTGGATGAACCCTTTCATCTAATAAGAAAATAAAAGATGAAATTCTTAGATCACATCATAGGCTGGGAAGCAATGGACAGAGAGGCCTCTAAGACTTGTGGTGGAGAAGGGTAGACAAGTAGAGGAGTAATTTTGGCGGGAAGAGTTGGAGTGAGGTGACAGCAATAACCAGGAACAGACAGAACCGTTGTTCATACCCTATATATGCAATACCTTAATATTGGCCAAGTGGCACATTTATGACAGTTGATGATAATAAGCATGCAATTCGAGTGATTAAGAATTTAACGCTTTCTGTATGCATGTCATCTCAGTTATTACAAAGTATCTTGATAGGCAGGTAATGTGTGTGAATGGCCGTGCAGCACTATATTTCTGCATGCATTACCTATCTGACACTGTTCAATGAAGATTTCCGGTTCCTGCTACAATAACTGCAAAACTAGGAAGCCGAAATGCTACCTAGTCTCCAGAATTCAAAAGTTACTAACACCCTGTGTATCAGAGACACCTCATGAATATCTAAATAGCTACATGTACATCACCAGTATTTCAGTTTCAGTTCTTATTTCAGTTTTGGCAGTCAAATTTGTCTTTAGGTAGGTGACGAATTGAAAACAAAAGACCAACTTTAACGTCTTTACACCTATCAACCTGTGTAAGGCTCCCAGGAGTTTTTTTTATATCTTTTGGGTTTTACAGGGTGGAGAGACTGGCCCCACGTCCAACCACCAAAGTGAAGGACATTTAGGGCCTTCCTTTTTTATCAGGCCTCTCTGCCTTGATCAAACTTGCAAAGTTCACTAAGTTTAAACAGTCCCAAGAGAGCATGCTAGAGACATCCTTTTTACTCCTGGTACTCACCTACAACTCTCACATAGAAAGACTCTCTGACAATACCAGACACGCTGCCTTTACTTATAATGGATATTGGGAGCAAAGCTTCTTCAGAACTTGACACTTGGAAATCCAAACCATCCTTCTTAGCAACAAGAAGTTTATTTCCAGATACTCTAAAAGGCAAATGAGCTTCATCTACGAGATCGTACAAAAACGTTTCACCAGGATTTTGGCTGACTGTTGACAAGATCCCAATCACTGCACCATCAGCTGCTGTAACAGACACTTGACTGGGTTCAAGAAGGATTTCAGCTGTCTGGTAGTGTTCTGTGATGAAAGAATGATTATAATAAGAACAAAGTTTATAAATTTCAATGAGCAACAAAAGTGTTGAGACAGTCGTTAGGGTTCCAGAGAAGTGAGGGGTTTCAGGTCGAACCCTACAAGGTCAGCTACTAGAAAGTTTGTCATGGTATGGTTGGAGCAGTGGGAATTGACTCATTCAAATTCGTTGTTGACACCCAACCTTGAAAACTAATCTGGAATCCTGAGTCTTCACTTTAAAATTCTATTTGGAACACAATGGAAACAATCCCCCCC